GTCCTGGAACTTGCTCTATAGTTTAGGCTGACCTTTAAATCACAGAGATCTGTTTCCTCTGCCTCCTTAGTGTTGGGATTAAAGGCATGCTCTACCAACACCCAGCCATGTATTCATTTTTAAATGATGTATTGACAACACTCTGCCCACCTATTGACTGGAACATTTAACCTTAATATTTAGTTGAATGTAGTTTGCTGTCATAAAAAACCCACAAATGGACATAGAGTGTAGGATGATTAAAAACCAACAAAATTTAAAACACACACACACGCATACACAAAAAGATTGCAAATACTGAGCTAAATAATGTGACTTTTGGATTTACAGATTAAAAATGTGTCTCTTAGCCGGGCGGTGGTGGCGCACGCCTTTAATCCCAGCACTCGGGAGGCAGAGCCAGGCGGATCTTTGTGAGTTCGAGGCCAGCCTGGGCTACCAAGTGAGTTCCAGGAAAGGCGCAAAGCTACACAGAGAAACCCTGTCTCGAAAAACCAAAAACAAACAAACAAAAAAAATGTGTCTCTGTATGATAATAGCATCTTCTAGTTATGAGGAATCACACTCATGATTTCCCACAGTTCCCTTGGTTTGCAGGAGAAACACTAATACGAAGAGGGTGAGTAAATTCACAGCAGTGAGGTGTAAAATAGGCACAGTGGACAGGAAATTATGAGAGGACAAGACCATCTGAATAGTTAATCAGTAGCATCTACTCTGGTAAAAGTAATTTAGTTGAGTTAAGTTACTAAAATCAGGTAATAATTTTGAATTTATTCAAAATTTCGTACCTTAAAAATACTCAAAACCAATTGAACACCATGTCAGTTATTTTTGCAAGACAATCATATAGACATGCCACCAAGCACTTATTGATTAAAAATAGTGATATAAACAAAATGGGGAATGTATATATATATATATATATATATATATATATATATATATATATTTTATTAGAGCTACTTGGAGATTGTATATTACTTAAATGTGATTACATATTGGAAAAATACACAATCCACAAATGATTTGGAAGCTACACTTATTTTCCCATTGGTTGGGTTTGCAAATAAAATCACTATTAGTGGAATGCTGGTAGGAAGATTGACTAAGGTGCCTAGTATGATTGTGTTTTAGACAAACAGACACAACTTATGTTATATCTATGGAATACATACAAAGAGGACAAGTCCATGCTGCATCTGAAAGAACTTTCCTCCCATAAAGCCTTGCAATGGAAAGCTCACCAACTGACGTGGTTGAAATCAATTCTGAGAATGCAGACATAAGATATATCATATTGATTTTCATCTAAGATATTCTCTCCAACAATCTTAGTCCAGTTGAAATATTTTAATATATAGAATATAAACTGTAAATACAAGAGAGAAAAGCAATTATAATACACACACTGGTTATAATCGTCTTTGTGGTAGAGTTTAAAAATTAAATTCTCATGCCCTTTAAAAGATTCTTTACAAATGATTTTAACAATTATATTTCCAAAATGGATGCAACCACAAATCTATCAATAGTGCAATGGTTTAAAAAGAAGTACCATAGGTGTTACCTAGGAATGTCCTTAAACATACTACTTATATGGCTGGACCGCCAATAATATGCAATAATATGAATGATTGAATGAGCCTCCAGTTATGCTGATTGGAATAAAAGAAAAATACTGAATATTCCATATATTTTTAAATATATATCTTTCTTTAAAATACAACAAAACAAGCAAACAAACCAAATAAGACAAAAAAAATTGGATAATTTTAAAGTACCTGATGGCCACTTAAAAGATGCTCAATAGGGAGGTATCAATTGGTGTGTATGGTGAAAAATAATATTAAAGAAACATATTTTAGTGGGAATGTCCCAAGATTGATACAGATCTTCATTGTATCAAGATTCACACCACAGTTCTTTGGTTCAATGTGGTTTGGCCCTCATGGGCTTATCTGCTCTAAATTTAGTCTCAAGTGTGACAGT